ATAACTGTTTGGTTTTTGGGGTTTTCTTTAAGAAACCAACAAAAAATACAATTAAATGAACACCAATTTTCCAGGGGGGCATTGGGTAGAACACCAGTTGTATAAAAAATGGATCCAACCCAAATTGGAAATTATGCCCTTGAAGAAAATTCCATGGTGTAGGAAAGAAACTCTGACAGCAGGCAGTTGCCAACTTTGGAATTTAGCATTCCACTTTGCATATAACTATAGAAAAGAAGATATGCATGTTCAATGTATTAAAACGTTAGATTAATTTTATAGCCTATTCACTCCAGGTCATGCATGCTTAAAGTTTCCCTTCTCAGAGTCAAACTTTGAATGGAAACTTTTAAACACTCAATAATAATAGCTGAAGTAATACACGTACACCTACTTCTGATCATGCAAACACATCATATTTAGGATTACATGCTTATATGCGTACATACAAACTCAGAGGTAAATTGGGGGGATCTTTACTAATAATCATGACATTTTTTATGTCATCTTCCTCATAGACCCATGATTTCAGAAGAGTATTGGATGCTAATTATAAATACTTGCCTGAGAAACAATTGCTATCTCACAAACCTTATTCTTACTCAAGTGTCTATCTATATACCATGTTGCCCTCACTGGCCAGTTGAAATTCTAAACAGGGGTCCTGTGTTTAGAATTAATTGTGCTAAAAGAGTCAGGTTTCCTACAAATGTTGAAGATACTAAGAGGTCAAATGAAAAAGGAATGACACTGGAGACAGGAAGCAGCAGCAGCAGCAGCAACAACAACAACAATTTATACCCTGCCCATCTGGTTGGGTTTCCCCAGCCACTCTGGGCAGCTCCCAACAGAATATTAAAAACACAATAAAACATCAAACATTAAAAACTTCCCTAAACAGGGCTGCCTGCAGATGTCTTCTTAAAGTCAGGTAGTTGTTTATTTCCTTGACATCTGATGGGAGGGCGTTCCACAGGGCAGGCGCCACTACTGAGAAGGCTCTCTGCCTGGTTCCCTGTAACCTCACTTCTTGCAGTAAGGGAACCACCAGAAGGCCCTCGAAGCTGGACATTAGTTATTTAACGATGGAGGTGGAGATGCTCCTTCATGTATACTGGGCCGAGGCTGTTTAGGGCTTTAACGGTCAGCACCAACACTTAGAATTGTGCTCGGAAACGTACTGGGAGCCAATGTAAGTCTATAGCTGCAAATGTTCATTAAAAGAACCATGTTTTGCACTGAAACCTCACCACTGGTGGGTAAGCTCAGACACCACTCTGGTTTCTTTGCTCCCACTGTTAACTATGTGCCCACATTTCCAGACTTTCCCTTCACAATTGCAAAGCTCTGATTTTTAATACAATTCTCTGCCACATTCACTATACCTTTCCATGCGCTCTGTCTTCGGTCATGCTGTCCTTTTGCGCCAGAAGCAGTTCAGTTATCCTGGCCCACATCACTAGGAAAGCTGTTTGCAGATGAACACTGGCTCCCTCGGCCTGAAGCAAGATTAGCACTGCACCCCATAGTCAAATTTGTCTGGACTTAACTGTCCAGGGGTCCTTTACCTGCAGCTTGGCGTATAGGGTGAGCACAGTCCAGGTCATTTTGCTGATAGCAAGCAAGGTTGAGTCTGCCCTAATTCTGCTCTTAAGCATTCAACTGGGGGACACCTGTTTTTGCGAGCAGTGGTGGACCTGCATTTACAGGGCCCTGAAGCTTGAACTGTTATGGGGGCCCCTTCACAAACAGCAACGAGATTTGGGTAACCACTCTTATCTTCTTCAGTGGGGTTGTTCCATGACACATTACCACATTAAAATATATATATACTATATCTCTGGGTTTGATTAAAGTTTCTGTACTGGATTATCTCACATGTCAAAGTCAAGCTGGATGAGTAGCAAAGTTGGTGGAACAACATTGCTTCTGGGGCCCCTGTGCAGAAGAAGAAGAAGAAGAAGAAGAAGAAGAAGAAGAAGAAGAAGAAGAGTTTGGATTTGATATCCTGCTTTATCACTACCCTAAGGAGTGTCAAAGCAGCTAACATTCTCCTTTCCCTTCCTTCCCCACAACAAACACTCTGTGAGGTGAGTGAGGCCGAGAGACTTCAGAGAAGTGTGACTGGCCCAAGGTCACCCAGCAGCTGCATGTGGAAGAGCAGGGAATCGAACCCGGTTCACCAGATTACGAGTGGCTCTTAACCACTGCACCACACTGGCTCTCACTGGGATTTGGGGCCCTGAAAGTGAAGCTTCAGTTTCATAGCAGATCTGCCCCTGTTCACAAGCACCCTTAAACAAATGCTCAAGGTATGCCTAGTTAAAAGCAAACCACGCTGACATCATCTAAAAACCTGAAAGAGCTCAGATAAATAAATGGTGTAACTGGAGGAAAACCAATTGCCCCCTTCCCTGCAAGAAAAAAAGCCACTGCTGAATAAAACCCTTTTTACAAATTCTTTCCACTGAGCTTTAACAAAAACAACTACCCTCTTCCTTGTAGTGAAAAGAAAAACCCACCCCAAAACTGCTCTTCCTTGTAGTAGTGGCTTGGTGAGCCTAAGCTAAACAAACCATTAGCAGACGGCTTAAGAACAGGCGGTTATGGTGGAGGACATTTATTTGCAGGTCTGCTCATAGACCAAGGTGAAAAGTGCAGTCTGGGCTCTTGACCAAACAGATTGTCTAAACAGACCATGAAAGGGGGATTGTTGGGTCTCATTGTCAAAGATTATTTGCGCTCTCGAAAACTAATAATGTGGTTTGCGCCCATGAGCGGAGTGCAAACAGCAGGACAAAAGCGTCCAATGTGGAGCTGGCATGCGGGCAGCCCGGTTGCAGAGACACCACTTATTCATTCGGTAGTCTATAGAGCTAGGAAGAGGTGTTGATGTGGAAGAAGTAAATAAAAGCAGCAGCCTGCTTCTGTAATCAATCCCCCTTTAATCCTCCTCGGCTGATGACAGAAAGCCATTGGCAGAACTCTTTGTGCAAAAGTTAAGCCTTTAAATAGACCCAAACCCACCGTGGCAGGGCTTTAACAAAGTGCTACATTCCAACTAAGCAAACAAGCTAAACAAAGAGAGAAAGAGAGAAGCAATAGTGGGTGTCACTCAAACCTCTTTTCTTTTTGAGGTACCTTCGCATGAGACGACAGGTTTCCATTCAGTCGGGGCAACTTGGAAGATTTGGACTGAACTGGGAGTTTTGCTTCTGTTACATTTCTCAGATCACCTCTGCTTCTGCAGAGCAATCCTATACATGTTTCCTCAGAAGCAGGGCTTTTTTTAGGCTGGAACTTGCCGGAACAGGTGGGCACCATTGCCCTTATAAGAGAACAAGGGAGGTGAGTTCTGGCACCTCTTTTTCTATAAAATATAGCTATACAGTGGTACCTCGGGTTACCTACGCTTCAGGTTACATACGCTTCAGGTTACAGACTTCGCTAACCCAGAAATAGTACCTCGAGTTAAGAACTTTGCTTCAGGATGAGAACAGAAATCCAGCAGCAGCGGGAGGCCCCATTAGCTAAAGTGGTGTCCCAGGTTAAAAACAGTTTCAGGTTAAGAACGGACCTCCAGAACGACGTAAGTACTTAACCTGAGGTACCACTGTAGTAAGTTCCATTGTATACAGTTAGGGCTTTTCCACACTTCCACATGTCCTTCAGCTTTCCCCCGGGGAAATCCACTGCTTACTACTGAATCGGAACAAAGGTCAATTGGTTTTTCTGCGGATTGATGTTCCAATTCAGCGGTAAACAGTGGATTTTCTCCAGGAAAGCAGTAGGAGAAGTGGAAAACATCTTGGACCCCTCCTTTCTAGGCCCGGGACAAGTGGAAGCGCGAAAGAGCCCTTAGCTTAGGCTGTGTACACATTAACTTATTTGTAGCCCAAAAATGTAGCTTTTATCCATGTGGAATTGTCCTTGCTTGTCCTCAACATGCAGCTTTCAATCTATATTGATTCCAGATCCTGCAGCCTGCAAGAGTGGGTGTAGCCCCTTGGTTAGGTTATACATGCCTTTTCCTACCTAATTCCCCAGGTGAATGAAGGAGGAGCTGGTGATTGTGATATTGGCACGCACCCACCTGCAATGTCAAAGGGCAGGTGTACACACATCCCATTGCTGGGACCTCCTATATCTGTTTTCAAACGGACACCCTGTGGGGTAATGCAGAATCAATCCGCAATGAGCTTCAGTTTCTAGAATGAACCCTGTTTCTCAAGGAACACATTCCAGGAGCAAAAAGATGTAGTTGATCTAGATTGTGTGTGGGCTACACAGAAAAAGCAAGTCAAAATAAAATGTTGTATGTGCACAGTCTTAGTCCTAAGCAATTCATGAGGGACAATGCATACTTGCAGATCACAATTAATCACTATACATCTATTTATCAGTGAACTGGCTATCACTAATTCACCATATGGTCCTTCTGCCCCAATTCTCTTTCATGGTTTCTGTTTGGGCAGTTTCTGTTTACATAAAAGCATCACATATGAAGGTAACAACTTGCTTCTTTTTATGACTTGTATATCAACAGCATAGTGTTGATATAATGCAAGTAATATTCTTCTCGCCAGTTGTAAGAAAAACTGACCACAACAAATCTATTACAATTTTTTTTATCCACATTCTCACTGCAGCTTCTTGGATAGAATTAAGTGCATAATTTATGCCTGGCTTGTTTTCTTAAGGGGCCCCAAATGCCTTTCTCACCCAGGGTCTGCAGAATCCCAGGACCATCAACAAGAAGGAGATACAAGCAGGTTGTGGCAAACTTCCTTGTCCACACTAACTGACCAGATATTGCCAGTCCTACTTGAAGATACCTGTGAGCTACATCTCTTCCCCAAATTATATACAAATGATTTCATAAATCATATATCACCAAAGGCCTGTCATTCACATTTCAATGTTTTCTAACCATCTGATTGAAGCACAGCAAAATAAAATATTTGTTTCCAAGACATTCTTTGCAGCACAAGAACTGTACCATAGTACAAGATTGACTGTTGGGCTCAGAAAGCCTAAAACAATTGACTGGAAGTTTTAGGCTTCCTGAGCCCAACAGTCAATCTTGTACTATGGTACAGTTCTTGTGTTGCAAAGACAGCAGGGGAGCATTTTACTTGTTAAAAAGCAAATCCCTTTGGGATTCTAATAAACATCATGAAACCATTTGAGTTTCAAGACTTGCAAAGGCAGCTCTCTTTCTCTCTTTTTTGCCCCAGTAAGAGAAAATGTGGAGCCTAATTTGACCTGACAGTGCCCCTTTCATGTCTGGAAGTGATGTACAGTAACTAAGTTTGACATCATGTTTAGCAATAAAGTTTCACTCTTTTCGGTGTGTCCTTCACATTGGTGTTAATGCTAACTACCACACATAACCCATTTCCCCCCAGCCATTTGTGGAGTGTCATGCTGATATTCTAATCTAATTTAGAAACGCTGCGAGCAACCATTGTTTCGAGTTGTTCAATGCTTGGCCTCTGCATACTAATCTAAAAACAACTGGAAGAAAAGCATTTTTTCAGGGGGAGGGGAATCTGTGCCAATAAGCTCTCAGCCACCTAGACACTGAATGGAGAACCCTTCTGTGCACACAATGGCATGGCTCCCCAGTGCTTTTCAAGGGGAGCAATAACTCAGCACAAAGAAAGGGGCCCAGAGAACTGCTGTCCTTTCCATGGAAATGAATGGAGAAACCACTGAATCCACTTAAATGAACGGCACTACTTTCTTCCACTGACTTGCAGGCCATACCATACAAATTGATTCTTAGCTAGGCCAGCACTTGATGAACTGCAAATTCAGGGACTGTTTACCTGCTGCTACAGGCTGCAGGTGGTGCTGTGGGTTAAACCACAGAGCCTAGGACTTGCTGATCAGAAGGTTGGCAGTTTGAATCCCCGCGACGGGATGAGCTCCCGTTGCTCGGTCCCTGCTCTGGCCAACCTAGCAGTTTGAAAGCACGTCAAAGTGCAAGTAGATAGATAGGTACCACTCTGGCGGGAAGGTAAGCAGCATTTCCGTGCACTGCTCTGGTTCACCAGAAGCAGTTAGTCATGCTGGCCACATGACCTGGAAGCTGTAGGCCGGCTCCCTCGGCCAATAAAGCAAGATGAGCGCCGCAACCCCAGAGTCAGCCACGACTGGACCTAATGGTCAGGGGTCCCTTTACCTTTACCTTTACAGGCTGCATATTGCACAGGGCTGATCGAAGAGATACCCATAAAGACCTCCCCCTTTTCAGCATTCATGAGATTTTGTTAATGGAATCAACCACATGAGTGCCAGCGTTTCCATGTTCCACTGATGCAGCTAAATATGAATTTTTCAAAGAGGCTGCCAGCGCCATTTCTGGAGCCATAGGTGTGAAAGGGGTTTGCTGAATCCTTTGATCAGGGCTGTCAAGGAAGCTGAGCAGAATTTCCTTAATCGCAATGAGCAGCAATGCCGTAGCTCTCAGTTTTGGTGGGCTTAAATTTTACAAGACATTCTTTTGCCGCAGTTCAAAGATTCGTCGGTTTCCCGGTCCACCAGAGAGGTGCTACATTATCTTCAGCACTTGAGGAGTTTTCCCAAAATGTAGAGGCACTGAAAGGAAAAAAAGTGGTTCCTTCCTGTGCCTGCACGTGCAGTAGAACACAATGCAGGTGCACAAGAAAAACATGGCAGTTGTCAGAGGTTTCTGGGAGTTCGATCACCGGCGCTGCAAGGACTGAGAAATGCCATGGAAGGGGGAGCTCAGTTTCAGAAACTCGTTCACGCTTCCCCTCCTAAGTCCCCTAATTTCAGCCAAAGAAGTTCATTTAAAAGAACTTTCCATTCAGTCTTAATTGTAGCTTAGGTTTCTTTTCAAACTCAGACGCGACACATAAAAAGAAAGTTGATTGGAGGGAGAAATGTCATTTTCAAGAAAGCAGCTGGGACCTTTCCCACTAGCAAAATATACAAGGACAACACAGCACGCCCAAATTCTAAGGGAAAAAGCAAAGGAAGACGTTTTAAGTAACTCGACTTTTCTCTTTCGTTTACTGTCCAGATTCGGGGCTCTTTGAAGGATTCCCAGCCACAGGGAGGGGAGCGGGGGACAATTTGCTGCAAAAAAACGCTTTTAAACAAAAACAAATAAATAAATAACTCCGACAGAAAGAGAGAGAGTCTTTTATCCAGAATGTCCAAAGAGAAACAGTGTTTTATTCATTGTTTATCATAAAGCATAAAAATAGCTCGGCTTCTGGCTATTATCATTCCAAGTGAAAAGCATCAGCCTTCAGAGTCTTGATTCAAGACCATTTAAGTCTACTAGATTTTTCTTTTCTTTTTTCATTTAGGGCAAGGGAGCATCAGATTTTCGTTACAGACATTTGCAGATGTGCTTCTCTTGCTCTTTGCAGTCACAGGGAGGCTGTTGCCGCTTTCCTTTTATGCTTCGTAGAGATAATCTAGATGGGGTTGGGAGAGAGTCAGGAATTCCCACCCCTTTCCTGTTGGCATTGTCTCAGGGACTCCTACAATGACCACCACCACCCCTTAATCAGAGGCACCCTCTCATATATTCTAAACAGAGGAAAAGTGCAAAGAGCTTCTCTCTGTGGCTATAACGATGACTGGTGTCCTTTTTCTCATTGGTGAGGCAGCCATTATGCCACCTTCCTGCTTGAGCCATTTTGTGTTTTGCCATGCCCCCATGGCATCCCTTTTGTGACTGGTGGTGCTCATAGACTGTCTCAAGATTCCAAAATGTGCCCATTGGCCAAAGAAAGGGTCAATGACCCCGATGTTGCGTACCCTCCAACATTCCCCAGATGAAAATAGGGACATTCTATTCTACCTCATTGGGACGCGGGCGGCGCTGTGGGATAAACCTATGGAAATCTATAGAAAGAGGCGGTGCTTGAGGTATTGCAGTCCTGAGCCATTTAAAGCTTTATATATCAAAACCAGCCCTTTGAATTGGGCCCGGAAACTAATTGGTAGCCAGTGCAGTCAGATGAAGAAAGCAAATCTGAATATTCATAATTTAGGCAAAGTCACATAGTGCAATCCCCATGCAACCATGAACAAAGTAGCTATGAATTGGAGCTCCAGTCCTCCTAACTCACTTGCCATGTGCTTTGCCTTCCAGCAGGGAAGTGGATACAGGTGATTATTTAAGAGGCATCAGTAGGGAACCTTCGGCCCTTTGAATATTGTCACACTACAGCTCCCATCCTCCTCCTGATCAGTGGCCATAATGGTTGGGGCAGATGGGAGCTATAGTCCTACAACGTCTAGAGGGGACTTGTTTTCCCACCCCTAATGTAAGAGCCACTTAATGGCTTCTGCGGGGGATCTGTCGGATTCCTCCTCTGTGTGCCTTACAGAACTCAAACCTGCTTCAGAGTTCGTGCATGTTGCAAATGAAGAATTGGCTAGAATTCAGTGCTTTCCCCCAACCCAACCCCACCCCACCCGGCAGCTCAACAGAGACAGCCCGTCTTGGGTTTCACTAATGCTTCTTCCATTCTGAACATACTACCCAGTAATCATAGCTGTTGATTACATTCCCAATGCATGCCAAGTCCTGTCATTCCCATTGTAATTAATTTAAAGAAAACATTTGTGTCTGAAAACAAGACACACTTTCTGTTCCCATTTTCCTGAGCCCCTTGTCCTTATTACTCATATATATATGTATACATTTTATTACAATTAACTGAGAAAACATGACCTAAGCAAAGTTATCAAAGGAGAGCAATTATGGGGAGCATGTGCCATATTATTTCAATTAGGTAAGTGCTCACAGTGGTTTTTGCTCGGGAACAGCACAAAACTACTGTTCAGCCTGCAATTCCCACTGTTAACATTGATAAATTATTCCAACATCGACTTTTCACTCGGCAGGTTTATTTCTGGACAAGGGCCAGGCACAACAGACCCGAAAGATTTATAAGCGCCGCAGTGGAAAGACGAAGAAGAGCTGGAGGCCTGACCCGTCATTTTGTTTAAATTGGGAATTGAACAAAGGTGCAGAAAATACAATCCTGCCAGGCCAAATCCGAGAGTCTTAACAAATTTAAAGCTTTGCTCAGGCAACATCGCATTGGAGTCAATGAAACTATGTCAAAGGCTGGCGATGCCAAGCACACTTGCTTTCATCTCGTTGAATTCAAGGCACCTTATTCCCAAGTAAATGTGTTAGAACCAGGATAGAGCACAGGAGTCTGAAGAAAGCAATTGAGGTTGGACGTGAGTTGCCTTTCAGTAACAATTTAACTGCAAGGCAATATTCAAGCTGTTACTATTGGGCTTGCCAATCAGAAGGTCAGCGGTTCGAATCCACGCAATGGGGTGAGCTCCCGTTGCTCTGTCCCAGCTCCTGCCAACCTAGCAGTTCAAAAGCACACCAGTGCAAATAGATAAATGGGTACTGCTGCGATGGGACGGTAAACAGCGTTTCTGTGCACTCTGGTTTCCATCATGATGTCCTGTTGCACCAGTAGCGGTTTAGTCATGCTGGCCACATGACCCGGAAAGTGTCTGTGGACAAACGCTGGCTCCCTCGGCCTGAAAGCGAGATGAGTACCACAACCCCATAGTTGACGGTTGTCCAGGGGTCCTTTACCTTTATCTTTTACCTATCAGGCCCTTAATACCTTGGGACCAGTTTACCAGCAAGATTCCCTTACCCCATAAGGGCTCACTCAACTGCTTTGATATGTGGGACTGACACTGTTACAGATGCCACATAACTCCCAAAATTTTCTGAGCTAATGGGAGTTGCAAATGGAATTTTTGTAGAAGCAATCAACAAGGAAATTAGCACTAAACTTCCAGTATAGTCCACTCACGTATAATGAAAGCTCACATATGATGTGGAAACTAGGGAAACATTGAGCAAACAGAATAAACTGCTATGTGAATGCAGCCCAAGACTAAGGCAAATTTTCCAAGGAAACAGTACAATTGGTACTTTTCTGAAGCTGGTGAAAAGAGCTCTTAGCCACCACCGCTACCTAGCTCTCCAAGAGCGATTCTGTGACTGTGAATACACTAGACCTGTAAGGCACTTTCTATCAAATGCCTGGATGAACAAGCATG